AGGAATCGGGGAGATGACAGTGAGCCATGAAGTCAGTTGACTCCCTCGGCGCTACTTGAAGAGAAATGCTGCTCCCTCCTCCTGGGCAGTTGGTTTTAAAGTTTGGGTGAAGCAAGATTCGGGGGGTGCAGCTAGACCTGCCCCTGGAAGCTCCTTCCTCATCCTCAAGAGCCGCCCCTCTTCTGTCAGTCTCCTTGCTCCAGAGTTGGGGTGAGGACTCGTGGGGTAGGCCTGGGGTAATGAGGCATGGGCAGATGAAGGGTAGGACAGCTTGTGACTCGATGCCCTCTTGGTCCAACTGCTGCAAAGGACAGAGCTGGACTTCTCAGTGGTGACGGATGGCAGGACAAGGAGCAATGGGCTCCAGCTGCAGCAAGGGAACTTGAGGTTGGATATTAGGAGAGACTCTCCTGAGGAGGGTGGCGAAGCAGTGGAACAAGTTACCCAGAGAGGTTGTGAGATCCTTGGAGGTGTTGAAGACCTGGGTAGACAAAGCCCTGGGTTGGATGATGGAGTTGGGGCTGGTCCTGCTCTGAGGAGGGGTTGGACTAGATGTGACCTCCTGAGCTCCCTTCAACCTCATTTTCGATGATTCTATAATTCTGCGCGGCATGGAGGGTGCAGTGCCCCCCCCCCACCAACACGTCACCTCTGTGCCACACGTTGCCTGAAGTCTTGACCAGACCAGCTCCTTCCCTGGCACTGCCACTGCTGCACAGGCCTCTGAACTCGGCCGGCGCTACTGTATGGTTACCTCGCCCTGGTCAGAGGCTCGGCAGGGAACTTTGCCCTGGTGTAGCTGGGTTTTAAGTGTAGTACAAACATGCTAATGGCACTGGCTTGGGTCCAGAGTACACCGCTCCAGCAAAAGCCAGTGTTTTAATAGCCTATTTGTGGAGTCTTGGCCCAGCTCCCACGCCCCCAACAGTGATGGAGAACGCACAGTCTGCGCTTGCTGGGGCTGCTTTCCTTTCAGTTCCCTCAGGAGCTTGCGCCTGTCCGTCACGCCTGGGAAGCCTCGGGCTCCTTGAGCGTGCACACTTGTCCTGGGTCTGGGAGGCAAACCGGGCTCCGCTGCTCTGGTAGCAGCCGAGGACTTCCTCTGGGGCCAGGAGGCTGAGCACAGACTTGCAGTTTCCCGGGCTGCCCCTGGGCCCGGGCCAAGCAGCTCCAGTCCCCTCCTGGAGGGGATGAAGTGGCTGGGCCCAGAACAAACAGAGCAAGGCCACTGTGTGCCGCGAGCTGGGGCTGGGGCATTCACCGCTCTCTACCTCCCCCCCAGGGCCTTGCTTCCTGCTTTGGGATCTGTGCAATCGGCCACCTGGACGAGGCGCTGGCCAAGCTGGAGGACTTTGTGAGATCTGACATCTTCAAGAAGTCAGTGGGACTGTTCAGCATTTTCAAGGTAAAAAATGCTGAACACAGCCCAGTGCAACTACCTGGTGCTCCTCTTGCTGGGGTGACCGTCATGGAGCCGCAGGGAGCCAGATGCTGAGTGCTTTGTAATGGTGCCAGCTTGTGAACCCACCTGGATGCAGTGTAATGGGGTAGCAGAGTAGGCTGATATGGGGCCAGGAGCTAGCAAAGCAAGTGATGGAGCAGGCTGCGCTCTAGCGTGGTGCATGGAAAGGGTCCGTGCTAGCCACGCTCTTCACTGGTTGACCAAACCAGAGCCTTAAATTCCAGTGCGAGCCCTCGGCCTTTCTGAGAATCGGGGTCAAAAAGAGGAGAGGCGCACGCGTGCCAGAGTAAAGGGAAACCTCCCCACAGACCTGAAGGGGGTACACTTAATGCTGTACTTGCTTAGTGCCCTGCGGGGTCGGGAAGCCCTGCGTCTGGGCTGTTGTCTCCTCAGGGTAAACCAACAAAATCCACGGCTACCAAACTGGGTAGCAAGGCTCAAGCTGTGGGGTGGGGAGAGGTGCAGGAGCCTGGGGAGAGGGGAACGAAAAGTCTAGGAACACCTCGACTGTGCTGGACAAAGCCATAATGGGACCAGCCCTGCACGGGCGGACGTGTGGGACGGCCCCCAGCTTTACCCCGACCTGCCTCGCCCTCGTACCAGGACCGCAGCGACAACGAGGTGGAGAAGATCAAGAGCACCCTGATCCTGTGCTACGGCTACGTGGCCATGTACGCGCCCAAGGAGCTGGTGCTGTCCAGGATTGAAGCGGACATCCTGAAGAACGTTTTCCAATACTTCAACACCAAGGTGGGTGGCGGGCTTGTTCTCCTCCGTGCTGGGCCGGGGGTGGCTGGCGGGGGCGGCGAGAACAGCCTGGCCGTAGCTGTGCGTGTGCCCTGGCACAAGGGCTGTGCCAGGCTGCTGGGTGGGATGTGTGGGCCTGGCCGGGAGGGCGCCTCGCATTGCTAACGTGTTTTATTTTTTCACTCGTTCAGGTTCTGGGCATAAAGGTAGAAACCAAGGTACAGTGTGAGGCACTCAGTCAGTCTGAGCCACTCTGCTCTTTCCTGCCTCTTTCTCTGCCTCTTGCTTCCCATCACTAGAGAGGAGACTGATTTATGGCTTGTCAGCTACCCGTGGGCTCGCGTGCTGTGCTCTCAGCAGGGCTGTCCTGGGGACAGCCTCCGGGAGCTGTGAAAAACCCCTGCTTGTTATGGGGCACAGCTGAGCCAGCTGGCTGGTGTGGAAGGGAAGGGCTGTCGTGCCCCCCAGGGCAGCATCAGTCACTTCCTTCCCCCCAATATTTGGTCACCTAAATGCAGTGCTATTCTGCAATTTCGAATTTGGGCACTTAAATACCTTTAAAGCCCATGGCCAGAAGTGTTGCCATTCCTTGCTCCCATTAACTGTGCAGTTGGCGAGAGACCTGGAGTCTCACGCTGCCCCCTCACCAGGATGGGTCGTCTCCCAGTCCTCTCGCACCTGTACCAGCCCAGGGAAAGCCACGGGGTTTCCACGGTCCAGTTTTACCAGCTCCATAGACCCTGCGCGGCAGGTTTGGGTGCATGGGCAGGAAGAGCCCAGCCTGAGGCTCCGTTTCCAGTCAGGGTTTAACGATTGTAGCAGCTGTGCGCTGAAAGCAAGGTCCAGTGCAGGGCAGAGGAGCTTCTCTCGCACGGCCGCCCCAGGGCCTGTCTGAGCAACACTGCCGTGCAGCCGCCCCTTCCCTGCCTGGCCAGGCCAGTAGCTGGGGACGCAGGACTCCCGAGATGGGAGGTGCAGCTCTGCTAAAATCCACTGACCTCCTTTTCCCGGCTTCCCCCGGAACGATCCAGATGCCAGGCGCACGCGTTCCCACCCTGGGCAGGGAGGGGGCACCTGCAGTTGTGTACTTGGACAGCCCGAGCAGAAATAGCATTAGTTAAGGGCTGGTGCAGCCGCCAGGCTGAAGAAACCCCCTCTCCAGACCCCACTAATGTGTTTTCCTGCTGGACTTGTGTTGGCACTAACCACTTCTGTAAAACCTCTGGCCTCTCGAGCCGCCGGGTCCTGCTAGCCTGCAGCAGCCAGCTGGCTCCGCAGCCTTCTCGGGGTCACGGGGGAGCGGGGCAGGCAGGGGGTAGAACGAGCTCGGCCCCCCGGCGGGCAGGGAAAGGTGGTCGTCTCCGTGCGCGCACAAGAGCACAAGCAGGCCGTCGCGCTCCTCATCCCATTTCCCGGATGCGAAGGAATAAGTGCCCCCTACACTAACCCTTCCGACAGCTCCTTTACGAGGCTGAGGGGTCCCGAGCCTGCACCTGTGGCGGCTGCCAAACACGCCGGCACCGAGAGGGGCCTGGTGGCAGCAATTAACTCTTTGCAGCTCTGAGTTGAGGACAGCGTTGGGATGAGCCGCGGCTGGGGGCTCTCGCCTGAGCCCAGAGCTGCGCCTTGCAGGAGGGTTGGAGTGGGCGATTAGTCCAGGGCCTGATGCATTGTCCAAAACTCAGACCCTCCAACTCGGAGTGGGAGGAAGGGGCTGTCTGCTGCCGCTCCGTCGGACACGCCTTGTCCTCAGGGGCCATGTCACCAGGTGGGGGTGACCCCGGCATCTCGGCACTGTCTGGGTGGAGGCGGCCAGCGATCCTGCCAGCTGGTTCATGGGTGCTCTGGGGCTTGCCTTCTGCACTGGTCTTATCTTGGGCTAGCGGCAGCACCGGCCGAGAGGTGGAGGTGGTGGAGCCTGCGCTCTGTTAGACTGGAGGCAGGAAGAGGGGGCTGGTGTTGAGGAGAGCGAGAGCCTGGCAAGGCAAGGAGGGGCCCGGCTCTCGGCCCTGCCCCTCTCAGACCCCTCGTTTCACCCCCTGCATTCAGGACCTGACGCTGAAGCTGTCTCTCATCCGGAGCATCTGTATGATCAGCCAGGCCATCTACCATAGCGTGCACTCGGGCGCCTTCGTCTTCTCCCGCAAGGCAGAGCTCATCTCGCAGATGATGGTGAGTCCCGTCCCGGCCGCAGGCGTGGGGGTGGGAGACGTGCCGCCCCTTCTCAGACCAGCGCTGGCGTGGGCTGCCGGGGACTAGGCTGGCAGTGACCAAAGCAGAGGGCAGCTGTTGGGTTCCTTAGCGCTGTAAGCAGGCATCTCATTTGAGGTGGTCCTGATAGTCCTGGCGTTTGACCTGGATCAGAACAGGTGCAGCCTGGGCATTTACCCACGCCTCGCCCTTCCACGCTGCAGGGAGGCCTCCCCTGGAGTCCTGTGTTCGGGTCTGGGCCCCACTTCAGGAAGGACATGGACAATTTGGGAAGATTTCATAGATTTCATAGACTTCATAGACATCAGGGCTGGAAGGGACCTCGGAAGATCATCGAGTCCAGCCCCCCGCCCAAAGGGCAGGAAGCCAGCTGGGGTCATAGGATCCCAGCAATATAAGCATCCAGTTTCATCTTGAAGGTGTTCAATGAAGGCGCTTGAACCACCTCCGGTGGCAGGCTGTTCCAGACCTTGGGGGCTCGGACAGTAAAGAAATTCTTCCTTATGTCCAGCCTGAAACGATCTTGAAGTAGTTTGTGACCATTCAACCTCGTCATCCCTTGGGGCGCTCTGGTGAACAAACGTTCCCCCAGATGCTGGTGGTCACCCCTGATAAACTTGTAGGTGGCCATCAGATCACCCCTGAGCCTGCGCTTTTCCAGGCTAAAGAGCCTCAGGGCTCTCAGCCTGTCATCGTAGGGTCTGCTTCCCTGACCTCTGATCATGCGCGTGGCTCTTCTCTGGACTCTCTCAAGCTTCTCCACATCCTTTTTGAATTGTGGAATTAGGAAGAGCCTAGCGCAGAGCAACGGAAGTAATCAGGGGCTTGGGAGACACGACTGATGAGGAAAGATTTGAAGAGCTGGGGGTACTGAGCCTGGAGAAGGGAAAGTGGAGGGGATTTGATAATCTTCAAATCCCTGAAGGGCAGCTACAGAGAGACTGGAGATGGGCTTTGCTCTGACTGCAGGGGCAGGGCTGAGAGCAACAGCCTTAACCTGCTGCAGGGGAGCTTGAGGCTGCAGATGAGGGGAACCCTGGGTCTGAGGGTGGGCAAACACTGGAACCGGCTGTCTAGAGAAGTGGAGTCATCTCCATCCTTGGAAACTTTCAAGAGCAGGTTGGACAGATGCTTTCTGGGATGCTTTATTTGGGGCTGATCTGGGGCTGGACTGGATGTGACCTTGTGAGGTCCCTTCCAGCCTGACTCCCCTATGATCCTATATTGCTGCTCCCCTACCGGTCAGGGGGCCTGCGCTAGCACAGCCTATGCGGCAGGCATCGCAGTGCTTGCAGCAGGACAGCAGAGAGAGATCCCTGCACAGAAGGCTTCCTCCTGGGAGTGATACAGTGTCTGTTGCAGCCTTAGAGCATCGCTGCCCTGTGGCAGGAGCTCCTGGAGCTGGGGATGGGGAGCTCTCTGGCTTGCCGGGCTGGGGAGGTTGAGGCTGTGGGTGGTGTGGCTGTCGGCAGAGGTCATACCATGGAGTGGGCTCAGCTTCGTCCTGGGCCTACACGTGGGGGTGCTGCACGTCCGCTCAAAACGGGCTAAGAGGCCGGAGCTCTGCTAACCCTGGTCCTCTTTGCACGCCAGGAGTTCATAAAAGCAGAGCCAGTGGATGCCATGAGAAGCCCCATTCGCCAGCGGGCCATGATCTCCTGCACGTACCTGGCGTATCCTTTCCCCGCGCTGCCCCTCGGGAGGGTTGTTGGAGGGGGAGGATTCGGCTCGGACTGCAATCCCGCTGGAGCGCGTCCTGGAGAGTCGCGAGACCCTGAACCGTGCCCAGCCCCTCCCTGGCATGCCCCCACCCCACCGTACCTGGCACATGTGCTGCAGTTGTTTGGATCTAGACTGGTCCTAGCTGCTGCCCCTGGCCCAGCTATGGTGTGAGCCAGCCGGGAGCCCCAGTCAGTCTGAGACTCCAGGCCGTAGAGCAGAGGGCCTGGCTTTGCATGCTATTTCTGCAAGGACCGTGAGGGTTTTTTATTGAGTGAGAGTTATGCTCTGCCGCGTCAGAGCTGCTGGCACGGAGCTGCAGCCCTCAGCCCGTGCCTGATGAAAGCAAGTGCCGCTAGATGCGCAGGCGTGCCCGCGAGAAGGCAGAGGAAAGCCCCCATTACCGAGGGAGTGCCTCCAGACAAGTAAACCTGCATACGACGCACACAGCAGCTTGTGTTGGCTCTTAACTCAGCTGCCAGCACCCTGGAGCCGCCCCTGGGCCATACCGAGAGGGCTGAACTGATCGACTGCTGCCTGAACAGCGTCCTTGCCCTCCCGCCGCCAGAAGTCATGAGGGAGAGAGACAGCACTGTGACAGATACCTGCCTGAAGGTGAGGCCGGGTGGGGCGGGAAAAGCTGGCCTGAGCTAGACTGGTCTGTTGCTTGAAGCCGTTCTGCGTCGGCAGAGGGCTCAGTCCAGCGCCTGCCTGCGTGTCCCAGCGAGCAGACTCGATGCATTGGCTCTGGTGCGGGTCACTGCTGACTTCGGTCGTTGTGTCTAATCCAGTCCCGGGCAACGCAGCACCTCCTGCCAGGCCTCGCACCCTAGGGCTTAACTGGCACTGAAGCTAGCTGTGGGCTGAGCAGGGCTGGGCTCCATCCAGTGCACGTACCGTGTCTGGGCAATCCTCTTCTCCCCCAGTCTTGTGTCCAGGAGAACCCGGCCCCTGTGGGCCTGTTCCCTGAGCACCAGTTAAAGAAACCCGGGGCCGGGAAGGGATCGCTGGGTCCAACGCTTTGCATGAATGCAGGGTTGCTCCTCCTGCACCATCCCTCCTGGGAAGCCCTCTTGGTATTCCTGTTTGCCACACGTCCCTGCTTAGTGGGGAAGGGGTCTCTGAGCTGCTGTGGAAAGGCAGTAGGGCTGAAGTGCCAGGAGCTCCTCAGCAGCTGCCACCTGCAGCTAACACCAGACCCCGGAGTCCCACAGCAGCACTTGCAGCAGTCCTGCCCCCTCTCAGCGATGTGCAAAGCAGAGCTTGAGTCTGTGTCCATGAGACTTCCCCTCACTGGAGCTCGGGGACAGCCCAGAGAAGAGCAGGGACTTCAGTTGTTCTCTCCCCTCTTCCCTTCCTGTGAGTGCTCCGTGCGCACAGGAGATGCCCTGAAACCCAGCCTGTGTTGCTGATACCTTCAAGGGCAGCCCTGCGAACATCAGAGTGGCTGTGGACTGGGGCAGACCCAGGTCCATCCTGCCACGTCCCGTGTCCCATGGGACAGAGCAGAGCTGGAGGGAGAGTGACCGGGGCCGAGCAGGGTTTCCCCCTGTTCCTCTCCCTGCAGCCTCCAGCACTGAGGTCCAGGCAGGGCGATGCAGAGGCCGTGCCCCTCGCTCCCTGCCCCAGCGCCACCGATCGATGCCCCTTTCCTCCACGCGCGTGTCCAACCCAGAGCACCCCTTGGAACAACCAGAAACAGCCACAAGCTGCCGGAGAGTAGGTTTAGGTTGGACATCAGAAAGGATTTCTTCATGGTTAGGGTTGCTAGAATTTGGACTGGGCGCCAAGGGAGGTGGTGCTCTCCCTTACCCTGGGGGTCTTCAAGAGGAGACTGGACAGGCTCACACGACCCCGGCACTTTTTCCTGCCACTGGCAGGGGGGCGGACTCGATGATCCTTTGAGGGCCCTTCTGACCCCAGCATCTGTGAATCTGCAAGCCCTTGTGAATCTGGCTGAGCTCTCAGCCCCACCACCTCTGGGGGCCACGGGTTCTGTGCTGTAATTTCACGTGGTTTTAAACTTGCTCCATGCTAGTACCGTATTGCGATTCCTAGTGTTTGTGGCCCTGAGACTCGGGTGCTTTGGAGTCTTGCGAGTTAAGTACCGGATCTCGTGGGGGGGCTGGAGACCAGCAGAAAGCCCCTGCTGCCCCAGCCACCTGCCTAGCTGGGCGCAAGGGTGGGTAACTGCTGTCATTGGACCTGCTGTGCATTGGGCAAGATGCTTTCGGGTGACGAGCCTTTGGACCACAGCTCCTACTGAGGGTGGCGGCGGCTGCCTGCTGCTGCCTCTTCTGCCAGGTACCTGCAGCCCTGAGCAGTGAGGAGCAGGCCTGGAAGGGGGGTGCAGGGGCCCTGGTGTAGCCGGGAACTTTTGTAACCCTCTTCTCATCACAGGACCTGTACCGGGACACCATAAATGCCCTCAAGGACTTGATGAAGAGCCTCCTGCAGAAGGACCTGACTCCACAGGGCCTACATGACATGTTCGAGGTGCGTGCTGCCTCAGACCAGTACATCCCATGGTGGGGTTGGGAGAGGCAGGAGGTGACAAGGGCCAAACCAGCCTTCTTCTGCCACTTGGCTGCTGTGGCTCTGCCTGGCTGTGCTTGATGACTTGTGGAGCTGCCCCTCCTCACTAGCCTCTGCAGCATCCCTGTCCTCTGAGCCGGAGGCCTGACGCCACAGAAGGGACCAGATCATGTTGCAGGGAGCAGGGGAAGGGCACAGTGACAGCAGGTGGAGGCAGGGGCTCCCTGAGATGTGACCTGGGAGCCCTGACGTGCAGTAGTCAGGACCTCAGTGCTTGAGCTGCTCCTCCGATGCTGCCGGCCGCGCTGGGCAGCCGTTCTCCCATGGAGATGGACCGGGTCCTACCGGTTACCTGCCTGCTTCTGTCGCACTGAGCTGTGGTCACACAGGCCTCCGCTCCAGGCCTGGGAGCAGCATCCACCCAGGCAGGAAGGGCTCCCTAGGCGCAGAGCTGACACAGGCATGCCGCCAGAGGCACGGGGCTCCCAGGGCTGTGGCTCCCAAACGGGTGCCCCCTGGCATCAGGCCATCCCGTGGGAGCTCTGGGATGCCCCGGGACAGGCACCTGCGCTCCCTCTCTGAGGACGGCCTTTTTCCCCTCCTGCGTCTGCAGCACTTAAACCGCTGGATTAAATCGGCCAGAGAGCACGAGCGCGAGCGAGCCATGGAGGTCAGCGTGGCATTGCTGGAGCGCTATCGGGAGAAGCTGCATGTCAGCGTAAGTCTGGGCTGGGCAAGGCAGGGCAGGGGCACTTCCATCACCATCACTGTCCTTTGGTCTTCCCTTTCTGTGGCGGCAGAAGGCAGGGGGTGCGGGGGTCAGAGCTGGGTCCCAGCCACTGCTGACGCCCATCTCTTGCCTCCTCCCTCGCCCGGCTCAGACGGTAGTGCCGTTCTTTAACCTGGGGGTGCTGATCGCCCTGTTCTCCCCGCGCTGCTCGGACTCCCTGGCCAGCGTTCGCCAGCACGCTGTGGACTGCGTCTACTATCTGCTTTACATCCAGCTCTGCTACGAAGGTACAGGAGGAGGGTGGGGGCGTCCTGGAGCAGCCCTGGGGGATCTGCCTTGCTGCCCGGCTGATGAGGCTGAAGCCACCTTGCAGCGGCTTGGGGAGGGGGACATCTCGGCCAGGAAGATATTAAGATCCGCGCGTCGCAGGAGGCTGGCAAACTGTGCCAAGTGCCTCGCTGCCACTGCCACAGCAGGGCCAGGCTGTGAGCTCTGAGCTTGGGGTGGGTAGGATCTGTGCTGCCGCGAGAGGGCCAGTCTCACGGCCTCCCGTCCAGGGTGCAGCGCTCGCTGTCCCCGGGAGAGGGCACTCCTGCCCTTGGAATGGCTCGAGGCAGCAGAGGACCCGCATCCTGCCCTCCGGGGCGATGGCGTCCCCCAGCCTGGGTTCTGAGCAGGCGTGGGGTAGCCTGCAGGGCTTGGGAGTGGGGTCTGGGTGTGTCACTTCACCTCCAAGAAATCCCAGTGCCGTGGGGTTGCATCCAGTCCAACCCCAGCCTGAGGCAGCATCAGTCCCATCCAAACCAGCCCAATTAAACCCCGTGTCCGACCTTGGAACCGCACAATACAGTCATCCCCGGCAGCCCTAGGCATCCACCCAGCCCCGGGGGAAGGGAGCAAGATGGGCACGATCCGTCTGTCCAAAGGGTTTGGCGGCGCCCTGCGGGCGAAGGGGGAAGCCCGCAGTAGAGCCGGGCTGACGAGCCGGCTGGTCTCGCGCAGGATTCGCCCAGGACTATCGAGACGAGATGGTGGAGAAGCTGCCAGCCCTGAAGAAGGGGCTGGAGGAGCCGGACTTCACCATCCTTTTCCACACCTGCTACAACATCGCCATGGTAAGGCGGGCGCCCGGCACGTGGGTCTTGGCTTGCTCAGCTGCCTCCTGCGGCAGTCACTTGAAGTCAGCCCCTTGTCTGCTATTCACGGGGGGCGGCCGCACGCTGGGGCCTGCTCCCGCGCCCGGGGGCTGGAGCGAGCTCTGTCCAGCGGGGCAGGACTCTAGGCCCACAGGGCTGGGATTACAGCCTCGAGGCTTCCCCTCCCTCCCTGCCTTCCTGGAGCCTCTGTGCAGGCGCTGGTCCGAGCTGCGCAGAGCAGGGGTGGCGGGGGTGCAGCTGGCAGGGCCACGTGCCTCCCCAGCCCTGGCCCTGCCCACTCCCGTTGTCAGAGGTTTTGAGGAGTCGAAGCGGCTGGGCAGGAGTGGTTCAGGCTGGTCAAAGGTGCCAGTCCAAGAGGAGGCCCAGCCAGCGATGCAGCCTCACACCGCTCGGACCTTAGTGTCCAGGTGGAGCCTGTCACCCACATTGCCCCAGAGAACCGCAGGCAAGTTGGGCCGGCAGGGCTCTGGAGGTCCTGTGCAGCCCAGGCCCCGCTCAGGGCTGGCTGGCCCCTGACTAACCCGGGGTCAACCTAGCTGGCCCGGGCTGGCAGAAGGCAGCGGGGTGGGACGTGACCAGACTCTCGTGTGGAACCTGGTGCCACAGCCGCGGGGCTCCCGGGATGCGCGAGCAAAGCTGAACGTAGTTGCTAACCCAGAGGTTGCTCCCCAATGAAAAGGGTTGGGCTGGTGTGAGCCAGGGGCGTCTGCTCCCGCAAGTGCCTGCCACGGCTCCCTCTGCGTCTCGGCCCCTTCCCCACCTGCACTGTCATGACCATCTCTTCCACCTGCCCCGGGTGATGGGCTCCTACCCGCCTCCCCTGCAGCTGCACTCGGGCAGAGCTGCCCCTGTCCCCATGCGGGGGGCTCGGGTTAGACCCGCTGCTGCAGCTGGACCCTGCTCCACCTGCACTTGGCCCAGGTACGTCTGCTCTGGGACCTGCATGGGGGAGGGAGGCGAGAGCAGAGCCAGGAGCTCACCTGGGCCCAGGGGGGACGTGGGGAACATCGCCTGCTGCTGCAGGAGCCCGATCACGCAGCCACTTGCTCCTTAAATGTGCCCAGCTGCAGCTGGCAGGTGGCAAAACCACAGGTCCAGGGATGGGCTGGGCCCACACACTGGCCGGGCAGTTCCCTGCCCCTGGTGCTGCGCTCCAGTCAGTGCTGCTGCCCCTGTGAAGCTGCAGGGAAGCAGCAGCTCTTCTCCTGCGGCCCCAGCCATGCCGCACCACGGGGATGCTGCGGAGTGTACTGCAAGCTGAGCTGGCCCCAGGGCTGGGCTTTCGTGGCACGTGGTGACACCCCCGACAGCAGCCAGCTCTGCTCTGCAGACCCCTGGAGCCCTGACCCCATGAGCAAGGCGGGAGGGCTTGTGGGGAGATGCCCAGGCTGGTCTGGTGGGTGCCCCAGGTGACGGTCACGGAGGGTGTCGTCCAGACGAGGCATGAAACCGTGGTGTTCAGACCCTTCCAGAAACCCAGCAGTTGCTGCCGTGGCCACACAGCAGTCAGGCTGCTGGATTTTGGGGAAGCGGCTGCCTGCGCGCACAGACCAGCTGGGAGCAAGAGTCAGCTTCTCGGCAAGAGCCAAGCGTTACCATGTGCCGTCTCCCACCCAGAGGTGGCTGCATTCCCACGTGCACCGTGGGCTCTCAGGGCACCAGAAGTCGCTGCTCCTCATGGAAGCTCTTCCTCTTCCCGTCCTGTGCCAGGTGATCGGGAAGCGCGTTCCCCCTGAACAGCTCATGAGTCTCCTGCTCACGATGTTTGAGAGCCTGGCGGACCCCGACAAGAACTGCTCCCGCGCAGCCACCGTCATGATCAACTCCCTCCTGAAGGAGCGCGGCGCCGTGCTGCTGGAGAAGGTGGGGGCTTGGGCGGCTTGTCCTGTGCTCTCCCCCCTCATTCCCTCTGGCCTCGGGTATGTGGTGCCCCCAGGCTGGCTCCCGTGTCTGCCAAAGGCTGTCCTGTCCCCAGCAGCTGCTTGCAGGGCATCTTCCACTCCCATGGCACTCCTGATCTGGGGGGGGCAAGCGTCCTTTCCTTCTGCATTGAATCCACAGAGCCGCGGGGCCGGCAGGAAGCTGCAGGGTCACATCTGCTCCAAGCCCTGCCAGAGGCAGGATCAGCCCCATCCAAGTCCGCCAGACAAACCCCGTGTCCGACTTCAGAGCTACGTGACACAGTTGCCCCTGCCCCTGGGATACAGGGGGGCCGCGGCCGCCAATGTCCTGCTGCTGCCGGGGGGGTCATGGGCGCTGCAGTGATCCCAGGCTGTGCCCCCTCTGCAGAGGAAGGCAAAACCCCCCATTGCACACCAGTCTGAGCAGGGGGAAATCCCTTCCTGCCCCAGTGCAGCGCGGGGCTGAGCCTAAGTGCGGGGGCAAGACCCCCCAGCCAGGACCCTGCGGGGTCGGTGCCAGAAGAGCCGTGGCCCAGCCCAGCCCCAGCCCCAGCCTGGGCGGCAGCTGGGGAAGGCAGCTTTCTTCTCCTGCCAACACGTGTAGCAGCAGAAGGGGAAAGAATTCCTGTCTGGCCCCATGTGGCAACCAGCAAAGCCCAGAAGCCTGTGCTGGGCAGCGCCCAGATATAGATCCCCATAAATCCCCATTGTAGAGCATAGGGCGAGCTATATGGGTCATCTCTGACCAGTGCCTGGCCATCCTTTTTGTGAACTCTCCATCCCTGGAGGTGCTCAACTTCCCTGGGCTGGTTCTAGCCATGGCTTTGCCTTCCAAGCCCTTGATGTTGGTTTGTCACCCACCCCAGACCCTGTAACTTCTCCATGTCCTTGTTAAGATGCAGTGTGACGGGTGTATTGAGGCAGGCACGAGCTCTTCGGGATGCTCCTGTGTGTCTGTCCATTCTGCTGCAAAAGGTCTGGGTCCTTGGGTGGCAAGGCAGGTTCCTTGTCCCACAGAGCGTGTCTTGTGGTGCAGCCACTTCACCCACTGCCCCCTGCCCTTCAATAAGGGGGCCGCCCTGCTCCCCTGCCCCTGCTGGCCTGGCCTCGGTTCCCGGTGCCCCCAGCTCTCTGCCTGCCCCATCTGGGGGTCTCCTGCACAGGGGAGGGGGCAGGAGACTGCCCCGTTAGATGGGAGCCTAGTCTTGCGGCGAGCTGGGCTGGTCGCCTGCCACGCGGCTGGGGCTGCCGTGGGCTCCCAGAGTCTGCAGGGGAGCAGGTCGCGCGCAGCAGGTTGCGAGTCTCCTGTCTTGAGCTCAGCTCCCCCTTCCTCCCATTGCCGCATGGGGCCTGTCATTGGAAACACGGGTCCCTGCCACCCCTGAGGTTTCCTCACCCCAGTGCTGCAGCTCCAGCTCTGCCCGTCGCCTCCCTGCGCGGGACGGACTCGGCTCTTGTGCCTCGCTTTCTGGGCAGCTGCGTCCAGCCCAGATCCAGAAACCTGAACCGATGCTAAGCCCTGAGTCCTCGGGGGAAACCTGAGCGTGGCTGGGGACTGCTGCTTCCTTGTGGCAGCAGTGCCGACCAGCTCAAGTCTCGTGGGGGCTGGAGAGAGG